CCAGAGTTCAGGCCCCACGACTGGTCCCAAAAAAAAAAAAGTTTTTAATAATTAAGCACTTGCAATCCAGTATGGTAACCTCCATGTTCAAAGGATTTCTATGCTAGCTACTAGGTATCGATCATGCAATAACCCAAACCAGAGATCCTTTGGCTTAGATGACCTTTTGTAGAAACATGACCTTTGTTTCACCTTCACAAAGCATCTGGGAGTCAAAATCATTTCATAATCTTGTTCTATCTTACTGTCCAAAATGACACTGTCAAACAGGGAGCCAGTGGCTCATGCCTGTAATCCCAGCTACTCAGGAAACTGAGATCTAAGGATCACAGTTCAAAGTGAGCCAGGCAGGAAGGTCTGTGAGACTCTTATAATTGGGAGTAGCGCTGTGGCTCAAGTGGTAGAGTGCTAGCCTTGAGCTGAAGAGCTCAGGGACAGGGCCCAGGCCCAGAGTTCAAGCCCCACAACCAACAACAAAAAAAGAAAATGACACTGTCAAACCCGGACACTTAAAAGTGAGTTCAACAATTAAACTGTGCAGATACTTCACAGCAGTTATGCGTTTCCATTATTTTTGTTTTCCATTACAGGATGCTAGCTCTGAAAGTCTTTAAGAAATGTATCACGTGTTATGGAAGCTTGTTTTTTTCTTTTTATCTTTTTTTTTTCGGTGAAAAAGATAAAAAGAAAAAAAAACAAGCTTCCATAACACGTGATAAAAGATAGTCTCTTTGACTTCTAGGAAATAAATCTACACTTTCATGTAAAATTAAATCAATGATGCAAATTCTCTCCTAAAATTTGCTTAGCTCTTCAAAACTCAGAGCTTTGGGGCTAGGAAGGTGGCTCAGTGGTAGAGTGTTTGCCTTGCATGCATGAGGCCCTGGGTTCAATTCCTCAGCACCACATAAGCAGAAAAAGTTGGAAGTGGCGCTGTGGCTCAATTGGTAGAGCACTTGCTTGAGCTGAAGAGCTAAGGGACAGTGCCCAGGCCCAGAGTCCAGGCCCCACAACTGGCAAAAAAAAACCTCAGAGCTTTAATTTCATTATTCCTATATGGTAATCAATACTTCTGAATGCAATGAGGTAGTAAGTGGTAAAGAAGCCAGGTGCTGATAACTCACACCTGTAATCCTAGCTCCTTAGAGGGCTGAGATCTAAGAATCCAACAGGAGCAGGAAAGTATATGAGACTTCAATTAACCAAGTACCCCCCACCCTTCACCCCCCCCCGCCCCACCCCAACTCCCGCCAAAAAAAAGGCAGGCCAGGCTCCATGACTCAGGCCTGTAATCCTAGCTACTTAAGAGGCTGAGATCTGAGGATCACAGTTCAAAGCCAGCCTGGACAGGAAAATCTATGAGATTCTTATCTCCAATTTACCACCAGAAAACTGGAATGGAGCTATGGCTCAAATTGGTAGTGCACTAGCCTTGAGTAAAAAAGATCAGGGATAGCACTTAGGTTGCTATACCCCACCAAAAAGAGAAAGAGAGGGGAAAAAAAGCAAGATACAGAGCTGTGGCTCAAATGGTATAGCATTGGCCCAAGGTTCAAGCCCCAGGACTGGCAAGAAAACAACAACCATTGTCCAACTGTATTTCTTCCACCATGGCACACACAGACTACGGATAACAGTAACACTGAATTGTAGGCACACTGGAGGCAGATAAAGGAAAGCAGCTGCTGCTTGAGGCTCCTTGGCCAGCCTCACCAGTGACCCCAGGCCAAACGTGATGACCATGAGTGCTAAGCTCAGTGTCTGCATTTTGCTGAAGCTCAGCACAATCTCAATCACCTTCTCAGCCTTTAGGATTAACTGCATTACTCAGGCTCTATACACACCACCTAGGGGCTAAGTCTGGCAAATAATTGCATATAGCCTTAGCAAAGTAAAGGGAAAACTACCCAGCTTGCTCAGATATTGTGGAGATTAAAAATAAGTGAAGCTCTTATCACAGTATTTGGCAGGCAATCAATATATGAGAACTGTTTTTACCCAGAGGACTGTTGAATTTAAGAAGGGAAATCTGGTCTCCATATAGTAGCAGTGTTGCTGAGATAACAAATTACAGGCTTGTTCTTAGTCTAAAAATTAAAGCATTTTATAAAACAATGAAAATCGTTAACTCTCTCCTAACAATTCAAAAGCATTACTGTCAGCCAGGCACCGGTGGCTCAAGCCCAGAATCCTAACTACTCAGGAGACTACTCAGATCTGTGGATCCCCATTCAAAGCCAGACCAGGCAGGAAAGGCTATGAGACTCTTATCTCCAACAAACTACTCAAAAAAAGCTGGGTGTGGCACAGTGGCTCAAGTGGAAGAACACTCGCATTGAGCAAAAGAAGCTCAGGGACAGCGCTCAGGCCCTCAGTTCAACCCCTGGACTGGAGCACAAACACAAAACAAAGCGTTATTTCTTCTCCTCATTAACATTTAAAGCTTCTTTTTACAGTATTTTAAGTGAATGTCCTTGCCACTGAACTACCAAAAAATAAATACATATTATATTGATAAACCCAAGTACAAGAAGTGATACTGGTATGTTTAGTCATGTCCTATAGAATGAGCTGGGAAAATCGGTGCAGACCCTCCACTAGGCACCAAGGAGGGGAAAGACCACATCAGCACTTTTTGCTCTAAATAGGACCTCCCACCTCCCTAAGTGAAAACAATTCAATCATCTACAACAAAAATATTCCCTTCACAAATCATCATAGAGAAGACAAGATTCCTATAATTAGCCTCCCTACCACCTTAAAAAATCCTGGAAAAAGTATTATAATGAAGTACTGCTTCAAAATAGAGGATCCAGATGACTGCACACTAAGCAGACACACTAGAGAGCATCTGGATCTTGGAACAATAATGTGAAAAATGCCTGTCAGTAAATCATGTCAAGGTCACATCCGACGTTAGAGGATTTTCATGTATCCATGGAAAAAATGAACCACTTCAAGTACTTCTGTGATGTACCATTTTCCAAACATTAATAACATAGTTTCCTTTTTTAAATAAAGATTGGGTATAGTTATTAACTCAAATAATAAACATGCCAGGCACCGGTGGCTCATCCTTGTAATCCTAGGTACTCAGGCGACTGAGATCTGAGGTTGTAGGTTCAAAGCTAGCCCTGGCAGGAAAGTCTGTGAGACTCTTATCTCCAATAAACTACTCAGGAAAAGCCAGAAGTAGTGCTGTGGCTCAAGTGGTAGAGCACTAACCTTGAACACAAAGAAGCTCAAGGACAGCCCACAGGCCCAGAGTTCAAACCCCAGACAAACAAAAAATAAATAATAATAATAAACATACCACCTTTAGCCAGAAAAATCTCTTCCTACTAGCCCTGGATAAGTTCAAATAGTAAACACTTAACAGTGGAATACAAATGATCATATTGCCCAGACATAATCTCCTAAATATTTTAGCTTTACAGGGAGGATAGAGTTTGGAGAAGAATTCTTTGACCCTGCTGAAGAACAGGATAAAATGTACCAAGAACTTAAAACAAAAACAACAAATATAATTATATATGCAAGCACACACTGTATCATAAGTGTATGATCCTATGTATGTATTAATGACATACCACACACATATATGACTAAAGCACAGTATAGGTGTGAGACAAAATACTTGATATATATATATGCGTGAAAACCAAATAAGGCAACCTAATGAGACTGGTTTGGGAAAGGGGAAGGGAGAGGTGGAAGAATGGTAGAGGGGTGATTTTGATCTAGAAGTGTTGTATACATAGAATGAAACCCACTGAGGGCTGGGAAGGTGGCTCAGTGGTAGAGTGCTTGCCCTGCATCCATGAGGCCCTGGGTTCCATTCCTCAATACCACATTAGCAGAAAAAGCTGGAAATGGCACTGTGGCTCAAATGGTACAGCACTAGCCTTGAGCTGAAGAACTGAGGATAGTTCCCAGGCATCGACAAAAAAAAAAAAAAGAATGAAACCCCTTGGTACAATTAATTGATGTTCAAAACTGAAAAATCTCTTGTCCAACAAAATTATTTTTTTTGGTGTGTGTGGTGCTGGGGATTGAACCCAGGGTGTTGAGCCTGTTAGGTAAGCATTCTACCACTGAGCTACATCCCAAGACAAAACAAATTACTGTGGGGGAGGAAAAGTGGGAGAAAAATGAGCCCTCCACAAGAAATGTACTCATTACCTATGTATGCAACTGTAACCCCCCCTGTACATCACCTTGACAATTAAATTTTAAAAAATAACTACTGGGAGGTAGTATGTGTGAACACTTCTATGTTTAAGGCACAATGTACTGACACCCTGTGATGAACAAGGCATGATTCCTGCTCTGAAAAAATTCAGGGTCTAATAACAATGCCTTAAGAGTCACAAGAGTCCTGTTATAATAACACAGCATTAATAGAGCCAGAGAAACTGAAGGTAATAAGATACATCCAAATTCATTAATTAACACAAGCTAAGAAGAACACCTTCTACTGTTCAATATCCTAATAAAATCTGTCATCCAATTTCTGGAACATGATTGAAGTTATAATTCATTTCCATAAGAATCAAATTCAAATATTGGTTTTTAAAAGCTCCTCCACTTCCCCCACACACTCACGGCAGACTACTTATAAATTAGGTGTTTTTTTTTTTTTTTCAGCTTTGACAGGTAGGGTGTGGCACTGGAGTATCTCACACTACCTCAATGACACTGGGGTTTGCTCGCACGAATCTGGACATTCAGGTTTTCAAGCAAAGGTCCCGGTTAACTCCCCCGTTTCCCCTAAACCTAGAACAGCACTGGCCACCCCAGCGTGCTGACCCCCGCCCACCTGCACACACACACACACACACACACACACACACACACACACACACACAGGCCGTGCCTGGGCGATTCTGGATGTCACCTCGCACCAACCTCCTCCTCCTCCTCCACTTCTGTGAATCGTTCGGAAGGGAACACTCTTCATTCAAAATACCTACTTCGCGTTCTCTTCCTCGCTGCGGAGGTTATCCAAATCGAGGGGTGAACCAGTGAGGAGCGGGTTCAGATTTCAGTACGAAAAAGCCATTCCTCTAAGTGTCACAAAAACCCGGCAGAGATGCCTTCAAAGACATAGTTCGGGTGCGGGCAGGGAGCGGAGTGAAAGGGCGAGGGGACGGAGGGAAAGGGGTGTCGGGTGCAAGGGGAGGAGGAGAGGGGACGGGGTGTGGGGGGGAA